AACCACATGGCCTGGAAATATGGGAAAAAAATTAGAAAAAGGTGGGTCATGAATGCATAAAATATATATAGATATACACATGACATACAAAATATGTGTTGATTGACTTTATGTTATCAGGCTTCTGGTCAACAGTAGGCTATCAGTGAAGTTTTGGGAAAGTCAAAAGTTACATACAGATTTTCAACTGCACAAGGAGGCAATGCCCCTAATCCTCATGTTTTTCAAGGGTAATTATATACAGATTTATGACCTGCCTCCTCCCACTTGGAGAATGCACATTCCACGAGAGCAGAAATTTTATGTTTTATTCACTATTATACCCAGCATCTACAACTGCTGACTCCTAATAAGCACTTAATAAATTATTCTCAAATCTGACTCAGACTATAAAGTATTAAGCACATTAGATTAGTCTTCCTTGCAATACTTGGCACAAAATTCCAGCCTTCTGAAGAACTAGAGCCCCAAATTAAAAAGTAGGTTTTAAAGGGAAAAAAAATCATAAGTTTACCAATGTCTGGAGGCCCAACCTGCCTTCCAAAGAGCCTACTGCAGGGAAAAGAGACGACTGACAGTAGCCGGCCACCACATCATTAACTTCACTGTGGTGCTCACACTGGGCCATGTTTCCCCTGGGTTGTTCCTCACCAACCACCGAGAATAATGGAAGACTAGAAGCAGGCAATTCCTGCCCAATGTGGGGTTCCTCTGATGGGCAAATTTGGCTCAGAGACTCCCCATCAGTCTGGGCAAGGTTTTCATAGACCCGCACTGCAATTTGTGGCGTTTTTACCCCCTCCCCTCTCATCTCCCCTTTTCACAGCTGTCACCCCTCCCTATATTGTGCTTGGGGACTCCTTAATTCCTCCTGTTCCCTCATCCTTTACCCTTCACAGACCTTCGCCAGAAGAAAGCTCTTGCACCTCTAATCCTTTTTTCATGCCTGCTTCTTGAAAGACCCGAACTAGCTCACAAAGACACAACAGGTCTGTCCTTGGTGGGAAAACACCACTCAGGGACAGAGTTGTTTTCATTAGGAAGTGCAGCTAACTAGAGCTGAAGCCTTCATTTATTTGGGGGACTAATTCCAAGCATGGCATTCTTGCTTCCTGACTTTATCACAGGATGCAAAGTGGTTTTTCTTTCTGTCTGTAGTATGTGATGTGATTATTCCTTATCTAATGGGGCAAGGTATAAGTTCTGCTTTCTCAGAAGCAAAAAATACAGATAAAAAGTTCACTGCCCTGGGAACCTGCACACTGGTCCCAACTTACTGTTTAATCAAGACTACAGTCTCTGGCAAATCCACTGAATATATCTAGCCCCCAAATATCAAATGCAAAATCCCCACTGTTAGAGATGGCATATCAAAGGAACCGTTCCCAGTCGATTCTGCAACCTACTAGGAGGCAATGGTAAATTAATCGTTTGATGATATCAAGGCCGTATCATTTTGTTTAGCATCCCAAAGGGAAAATAGAAAAAACGTTTTAAAGCAAATTGTCGCAGTGGTCATTTCTACATTGTAGTTCCCTGAAATGCACACACATGAGTCGGGGGGTTGGGGAGGGGGAGGCAGGTATTTCTCAACACAGTTTCCTCTCTGACTCCTAGTGATGCTCATGTGCACAGAAAACCAAGCAGGAAACCCCTGAATTCAGTCATCAAGTGTTCTGACCCCACACCAGCAGATCCTGTCATCGCATTAGGTCTAAACCAGCATTCAAACTGCATTTTCTGTTGAACACCCTCCCAAGCCTCAGTATGAGGCCTTCAGAACCGGTGTACTCAAGCCTTTGTGTGAGCGGGGTTGTCTTTCCTTCCTCATCCAGTCCGCAGTGCACTGTCGGAGTGCATCCTGCTGGCAGCAAGACAGGGGTCCCGAGAGAGGACATGCTGGACTCTGTATGTTTACCTTCTTATCCTTTGTGTCAACCAGTTATGTTTCTAAAACATTTCCAATCCCCTAGCTTCGCAGAAAACAAATAACTCTGCACAGCCCCCCTCTTCCTTCATCCCCCATAAATAATCACCCAGATGGATGAGGACGGCCGCAAAGACAGAGTCTGAATGCTGACGAGGGCGGTGTGGCCAACTTCAGCTCCACCTGGGAGAAGCATTTTGCAGCTGAGCCAGGAGACTTCTCCCGAGTGATGGGAACAACAGCGAGGCAGCAACACCCCTTCAGGTCAAAGTCCTGACTGGGTCAGGAAGAGCTCAGGGAAGAGCTCAGGGCTTGCTTAGTGTCCGAGCTCAGTGAAATATTTCATGTCTGACTTACAAGAGCTAAGACAACTATCTGCCGGGCCTCAGCGTCTTCGTTTGTTATGAAGCATGCTGGCGTGGTGATTACACGCGTGGCTTTTCAAGCCAACTTGCTTAGTTTTGAATCTGAGTTTTGCTACTCAGTAACCATAACCTTGGATAAATTACTTCATTTCTCTATTAGGCAGCTTATACTTCTTTATGCTGCACAAGGAAGGACCTTCCGAAGTCTCAGTCGCTAGTCAACATGAAGACCTGTTTCTCACTCATGTCACATTGTGGCTGTGGCTCAGCTGTGGTCCTGAGGCTCTGTGGCTCCACTCCATGTGGCTTTCTAATCGAGGGATCCAGGCTGAGATCCAGCCTGTGTCTTGGCCTCACAGCAGATTATAACAAAGCAATGACCAGCCATAGGATGGCTCTTAGAGCAAATAATTGAAAAGAGCCTATGGTCCCTTCCACTGATATTTCGTTGGCCTAAGTGATAATATATCGATGTGCAAAGAAGTCTGTTCCTAACATAGGAAGAACAAGCTAGTCAGGTAGCCAAGAGCAGGGGTCCACAATCCTCTTACACGAAGGGGATAAACAACTGTGTACAGAATATAATCCACCTTCTGCATATCACTTTCTTCACCTGTAAAATAAAACTGATAATAATCATGCTCGTTTCATAAGGCTGTTAGAAAGATTAAACGAGTTTTCCTATGAAAAAACATGTAAAATGGTACCTGGAATAGGGGAAACCCTCATTAAATGTTAGTTATTATGATCTTTCCAAGAGGAATAATATAATTTTTTTTCTCACTCACAGAGATGTTTGAGGATCCTGTCATTAATGGGGTTTTTTAAATAGATACTATGCCAGATAAGGTAAGTCACATTAAACATCATACAAAAGTCAGAAATTTTATTACATCAATTGCAGGCAACAATGTAGATGTGTACCCTCCACTCATCTCCATGGAGACGTTCAGTGAGAGGAGTTCATAGAGGATTATTCACAGCAGCCAGCATATCTCCTGGAGACATCGTCATCATCAGTAGCAGAATGTATCATCCGTGGAGCCCCCATTCTGCATGAAGGATGATACTCAGCACAGGAGGAGCAAAGAGGAATAAGAGCCAGCCCTCCACATGCCTACAGCCCAGCAGGAGAGACCTTCTTTATTTATGCACCTTAACTAAGTGCACCCGGTGGGGGCTCCCTGGATGGTGATGCAAGTCCCAGGTGCCACAGGCGGCTTCGGGGGGGAATGACCCTGAGGCCTGCAGGTTGGGACAGACTTTTCAGAAAAAAAAAATTGAAAAGATACTTGATCTAGGCCTTTCAGAAGAGTAGGATTTGGGTAACCAGACCAGAGAAGGAAAGGAAAAAGAGAAAAGGAAAACAGATGGAAGAGAGAACTTCCCCGTCTTCAGGAGAATCGGAAACCCTGAGACTGTGCAAAAGATGACAGCTGAGACAGTGGCGGGAAAAGGTGAATGAAACCAAAGCAGGCGCCCGGCTGCCAGCAGCAAGTGGGGTTTTCTCCTGGACCCGCGATTCCTTTGGGAACGTTTCACCTTCTGTCCATGTGCTTCATCCCTCTCTCAAGACCTCATCTTTCTCCCTACATTTGTCTTTATATGAGCTTATGTAACATGTGAAATACATTTTAATGCAGTTGCTTTAATAATACTTACCACGTCAACATCGATAATGTGTCTTTTATAGACACATGAGAATCCTTATGACACCCAGTGAATTATTTAACATGACCCCCAAAATCACCTCTAAAGGGGCCAAGCCAGGACTCAGACCTAGGCATCTTTGCCCCAGAGCTTGCGCTCTTTTCCATAACACTATACACTTTCCCTTTAAAAGTATGTGTGTGTGTGTCCACGTGTGTGTGTCCGTGTGTGTCGACACACGCATGTGCTGGCATGTGTGTACATGGGTCTTTGTATCCACCTGCTTCAGTGTGTGCCTGGTGCCACAGGGAACTGCTTTCAATTGATCACGTGATTCTTCCCACTTGGCAAACGTTTGTGCATCAAATCCTGGTTCCTAGCTCTGTTGGCTGATTACAGGTCAGTTCCTGACCCTGAGGAACACGGGGAACTGTGAGAGCAATTTCCCTCTTAGTTTATTTTAAAGCAACTGATGATTGTGCATCACGGTCACATCTTGGAGCATAATGAGCCTATGGGATGCAGGCAAGGGCAGCGGAGTGCAGGCAGCCTGCGTGGAAGGCAGAGAGAACTGTCAGGCCTCAGGTGTCTCATCAGAGACACCAGTGAATACCCCAATGATACGTGTGTCAGTGGCACAATCTCTCCAGTGAGAGCAGTTTAGTAACAGCCAAGTCATTCTTGCTGTCACACAGCTGCCCTGGGCTCATACCTGGCCCTTTAATATGAACCCAAGATCAGATGGGAGAAGCCCTGAAAGTCGTTTTTAATATGATTCCTTTATTCCCCATCTCCCTCACCAAGTTCTCGGTGCACATAGGTGCACGCACACGCACACACACACACGCAGACACAGTATTCCGTAGATTTCTTCACCTCATGAAGCCAGTAAGGTCATGACTCTGTATGCCCCAGATCTTGTCATACAGCACCTGACTTCTAATTGGAATGCAATGGAAATCTGGGAATGGGAGAAAGCAAAGAGGGGAAAACTACCCAGGCTACAGAATTTGAGAAAAAAATTAAAAATCCAGTGCCTGAGCTACAGTGAGATTTTTAATATAATTTCAAACTCCTCTGCTCACGCAATTTTCTCTCCCTCTCCCTTAGACCACTGCAAACCTGCCCGTTTGTTTTAATTTGGATTAGCATGAAAGCAGAGCCCAGCGCAAGGAGGCCTGAAAGGCAGTGTGTCTGGTAGGTGAACCAACAGAGGCAGAGTGAGAATCTGGAGAGAGTGAACAACACAAAAGGGGGTGAGGCTAATATAAGGATGATATATCAAGGTCACTCCTGTGGGCAACGGGAACTTGATGTTGCTGGGACTTTCTGAGAAATGTGCTTGTATGAAAAGTATCAACCAGAAAGACAATGGAGCTCCATTGTCCCACTGGGTAACAATCGTCCCAAGCGATGTTAACCCTGAAAGCAAGTCCAGGTTTTCAGACAAACCAGAAAGGCTGAGTGGGCTCCTTCCAGCATCCCACATGACAACAGCAGAAAAGTCCTGGGGCAGAAAGCAAGAACTCCACAGTGCAGCTGAAGCTCAGTTAGGTCATATAAGACATAAATTTAGCAAGGAAGTCTATCAAAGACGTCTAACCACAGTCTACCCCTTGAATGACTGGGTTCCACTCATCCCTACATAAGTTACTGCCATTGAAGACCTTCAGGATGGTAGGCAGCAAACTCAACCTTCACAAAAGACTCAAGATGGGAGGGTATAGCTCAGTGGTAGAGTGTGTGTTTAAAATGCCCAAGGTCCTGGGTTCAATCCCTAGTACCACTTATTAAATTAAAAAAAGACTCAACATGAAATGGTTAGCAAAACAAGCTACAGTCTTTGCTGCTGCAACTGGTTCCAAATCCATAACACATTCATCGTCTATTTCCACCATCCATTCCAAATATTCCTCACACTCAGCCAGAACATCAAGGGATTTAAGAGTGTTCCTTGTTAGCGTAACACAAACCTTTATTCCTGAGGAATGTCAGCCCTTGATTGCCTTAGATGTACCGGGTCATGATTGCTCCAGTTGCTCATTCATCATTCTCATCAAGCATGGAAACACCAAAGGACACCCCAATGAGCCACGGAGTTTTAGAGTATCCTCTCTGCCACTATATACAGTAACAAGGCTAGGTTCTCTCAATAACCAGGGTCAGTTACATCCCAGTGGAAACCTTCCTCATCCCCTTGTGTAAATGTTTTCTTCAGTGGGAACCAGGACCTCCAAACCAAGAATGTCTAAGAATGCATGGATGGAAAAGACAAATCCCACAAGAGGGTCACTGGGGACGATTGTGAGAGGGACCAGTTCAACTTTCACGTCTTGATTCCGTGACCTATGTTTCTAACTACTGGGGACACAGTATCAGGTGCCAGTTGTTTGTTCAGTGCAGATACCGAATCTTGGAGGAGAGCACTCCAACCCCACAGGGTCTGTCCCCAAGCTGTCACCTGAACTGATGTTTTAATAGGTCATTTCATTATTCCATGAGGCCAGTGGATTCTGTTTGATAAGGAATACGGTGAGATCAGTGATTTTCATGGTCATGTACACCTGTCACATTCCTGGAACAGGAGAAATGGTTTAAAAAGCCTATCCCTAGGAAAATTAAATGTGGTCAGGTTGAGTATAAGAGAAAGTATGAGTGATCCTAAGAGTATATAATAATCAGATGAAACAGAAACTGGGTCCCTAAATGTATGAATGACACGATAGACTCAGTTAAGTCAAACAACAAAAGCACTTCTGGTATTGGAATGAAGTAAAAGAATAAAAAAGAAATGTTAAAAAAGGCTTTTCAGAGCACACCAAACACCCACATCTTGGTTTCTAGCCCTACTTTCCAATAAAAAGAACCAGGGCACTTTGGAGAAATGGCGAATTTTAGGGCTGCAGCAGAAAATTCACAAGATGACCGGGGAGCATCTTGTAATGTAACACACAAATGTAATGTAACACAGTGATGGAGCTATGTCAGAAGAGCCCAGAAAGCAACTGTGAGAGCTCCCAATGGCCAAAGAAGAAACTGTGCAAGAAAAATAAAACAGCATTGGATTGTAACTCAAAGGAGAATAAATATCCCTGAGTCTTTGGTGACATAAATAAATGGTTGAACAAAGAAACAAGTGGGACAGAACAGACAAATCTCCCGTGCAGAAGAACCCCAAGTAACTCATCTAGTCACTCTGCCCTCAAGTAGAAAAAGCATAACTCCCCCTTCCTCCCACGCAGCCTGCCCATAAGGACTTCCTTCCAAGGAGTAAAGTACGGAAAGTAGGAAAAAGAGGAACTTCATAGCGGAAAAATCTGATAAAGGAGCCTAAGGCAGTATGATCACTAAACACATGTGGTGCCCTGGGTGGTATTCTGAAACACAGGCAGACACTGAGGACATCTGAATAAAGGATGGACTTTAGTTAATAATAATGGCCCATGATTGGTTCATTAATGGTAACAAATGCCCCAGATGAGTGTGAGCTGTTAGTAACAGGGGAATCTGGCTGTGGGGTATATGAGAAGTCTCCATACTATACTCAAAAATTTTCTGTAAATCCAAAATTGTTAATAAAATGGTTTCCTTAGTGGGGCGATACAGCTCAGCGGTAGAGAGCGTGCTTAGCATGCATGAGGTCCTGGGTTCATTCCCCAGTACCTCCACTAAAAAATAAAAAAGTTTGTTTACAGAAAATATATTTTTAAGAAGTTTTTCACCAGGGAGGACAGAAATGGGAGGAAAAGCACTTGCATTTGGCAAAGGAGAATAAGTGAGGACAAAATCACCTTTGCTGGGTTTCCCCCTAAAAGCAGAGTGTGGACCAAGACTTATATGACAGCAGTTTATTTGGGAGGTGGTCCTGTGGTGCAGGAGCTAGGCACCGGAGAGAGCGAGGCAGATAAGTAGGAAAAGGAAAAGAAATGTCATAGTGATTGCTGAGAGAACTGCTTTGGGCAATAGAGTCTTCATTCCCAACAAGGACTTCCTGAAAAACATAAGCTCTCACCAAAGTATCTACCTGAGACAGAGACCAAGGGAGTATTTCCCTCCGGTCCCCATCTCCTCTTTGTCAAGTGTTACCAGAGGTGGGATTAATGTTCTCATGCTTCTAGTTCTGCACATACACCAGAATGGTCCAGGGGAGCCCCTGCAGGCATAAAACATGGTGGTGGTTAAG